TCCACCCGTACTAAAGAACAATTAAGCGTCCTCGGCGTCCCTTTCTGTAAAACAACTACTATCACACTACTTCGCTAGTACTAGTACTAGTACTAGTACTAGTACTAGTACTGGTACTAGTACTGGTACTAGTACTAGTACTAGTACTTGTAGTCTGTTGTCGTCGTGGTAGCCGTTGCAGTACCAGTAGTAGTTGTCGTCGTAGTAATAGTACGTACTTGTCGTCGTGCTCTGGGCGGTCGTGGCCGCACGTCGTCGTCGTGTGGTCGTGCTGGTGGTGTTCGTAGTAGCAGCAGCAAAGCCTTCTCACCTTCCTTGCGACATGCAAAGCTGGATACCTTGCTTCATGCGTGTTTGGCAATGGAGAATCGAAGCAGGAGTTGTTGGCATGGGCTGGGGGTTGGAGATGGTTGCAGTGGGGAGCTATCGAAAAGCACGAGTACCAGCGTGGCCCAAGCTGTTGAGTTGGGCCACTTCCTGTCGAACATGTATGCCCACATGAAATCTATCACATCACGGTATCTTGCTACATGCAGTCCCATTTGGCTCGTATTCCCGCCGATTCACGTCGCATGAAACGCACCTGCAGATCTCGTCAGTGGGATGGAAGCCCCGGTAAGAGGGCGTGGCACGGCGAAAACTCCATGACAGGTCTCGGACCTTTCGAAAGCATGTTAAATGGACATCAGACCAACGGCTTGTTGCTCAACATGCCAGATCATGCCAGGGTATTCTGCGATTGGCCATGCTGGTATATCATCTAGACAACAAGTTGTTTAGACTACCAGTACTGTCGTGTGTGGAAGAAGTGAGACCCAAAAACGCCACTGTGTGTAAGCAGCATTGTGCATGCGTCGTTCAACCTTTGCAACCTGTCATCATAACGTGCAGCTGCAGCAGATCCAAACGTAGCCACTCACCCGCACATGCACACCACACCCACCCCGAACGCGCAATAAAAAAACACCACCACCTGAGCCCATGAACGCATCTGGATTCACCTCGAGCAGTCTCTATATCTGCGAAAAGTGCAGGCAGCTGCTTGGTCCTTCTGCAGCTGGTCCATTCGTGCAATGTGCCTGGATGCGAGTGTGCAACCCCGGACACCGCAGTGCTGTTCTGCATGGCGGTCCTGTAGTGAAGATGCCGATCTGGAGGTGAAGGTACTGGTCTGCCTCACGCTGCACAACTAGACGCAAAATCTTAGTTGTGAGTATGTTGCTGGTGTAACTAAGAAGACTTGCAAACCAGAGACATTAGTTTTCGAAATCGTCGAAGCAGCTTCATGCAGCACTGCGCCCCACAAGACTCGTGGCACCTTCAGAATCCCTCAAGCGGGGGCTGCTCCAAGATTTCCAGCTTTCGAGGAGTGAAGCTTCGACCTCAACCACGTTTTCGAAACCGGGAAGCTCCTGCCGGGCATGGGCAAAATGGGCATCCCTGTCATTGTGTGAACACTGCACAGCTTCTTTACGACTCTACGACCGTGTGCTGCGCTTGTTTAACTGTGCACTCCTGCGACACGCCGGCCGCAGAAGGTGCAGCAGATTCCTCGCAGGCACGCAAACACTTTGTGCTGACAAACCTCCTCCGTCATCCTTGGGCTTCCGATATATGACTCCAAATCCGGCCAAAGCATGGCATTTGGCAATTGGGACGGACGCAACTGTAGAGTTCAAGGCAAACAGGTGCAGCGCACAAGAACGTACCGTCCGTCAACAGAGAAAACCAAAAGCAGCTCTGCTGCCAGATGACGGAGCTTTCTGCTTCTCCGAAAGAGAGTGCTTGATTGTTGGCTTTGAAATTGGCGGTCTTTTCCCAGCATACTGCGAAGCTACACTGTAGACTCAAGGGCCGTGCGGCGAAAGAATATATACGAGGTAAGCTCATGACCAAGGCTTTCCATCACAGAGAAACAAGCAGTGATTCATAGTGATTCACACTGTTCTCTTGCTTTGAGCGTGGGACATACTAGCTATACAGGCTATACAACTTTGTACTACCCAGCCACAGAAATTTGTGGAAAGTATGATACGCCAACCTGGTAGTATGATCCGCTGAGTGGTGTCTGCAGCATACTCGACTGACGCAATCCATAATATAACATGTGGTCGTCTTAATCAGTGTCCGCAAGGCTACAACTAAGACTTAGCCCTACTCACTTTGTACACGGCAGATTCGATCAAGCGAACGATAAAATCCGGCTTCATAGATTTTGTGAAATAATCAGCCGCTTGCGTGGCTGTCTTTATCCAGTCCACGCGGTCTCCGCCACCGGAAAACCCTCACAGGTACGATCGCCGTCATCTGCAAAGATAGACGGTCAGCCAAGCTCCAGCAATCGGTGAAAAAGGTGTGCCTCCCATTCGGTCCCTTGGGATCCAAATCCATATTAAATGTATCTCAGCTAAAACAGCTGAAATCCTGTCTCCAGCTTCTTGTGCATTCTGTGATGCGCATGTTTCGGCCTGGAGGGTTGCACGCAAGTCCAGGTTTTTGTTTCGCAATCTTTGTGTGGTTTTTTTCTGGGTATGTTTTTTTGATTTTCGGTTCGATCCATATACAAAACTCGCAAGACTCACAGGGATGGCGACAACTGAGGCTGTACCCGAGGTCGTTTTTGGTGTTTTTTGTTTTTCGGCCTACTGGTCTTCGGCTACCGATGTCACTCAGTCTGTAAATCCGACGGGCCGACCGCCGGCATCCGCCGGCCTGCCAGTCTACCCGTCGCCTCGGGGCCCAGGCACGATTCATAATAGGACTATACGAGGCCTTTATCGAACCTATCGGGGCGAGCGGTGTTTTTTGGGGTGTGTGCGACGTACCCCAGGGTCAGCACTAGAACGGGCCGAGCCGGCAAAATTTGGCTCGCGAAAGACCCCTTTAAGAAGCTCCTGGCGCTGCTTGGCTATCCTCCTCAAAAGCAGCCTGTCGCCAATGGTCGCAAAGTACCAGCGGAACGCTGACGAGACAACGGTTGCGGTAGTCAATGCCCCTTGCACCCGGAGCTCGAACAGCTGACTTATTCGTGGGTGCAGACACCGACTCGTGTCGAGTGATCGGGCTCTTCATCCCTATGGGCGTGAAGCAAGCTTTGTTGGTAGGCTCGTTTAAAGCATTCTCTTCGTGCTCTTGACCAATTGCGTCATCCAGCTCGGCCACATTATATAGGAGCATGCGCTCCCGCTATGGGAGGAGTTTGCGGGGAAGCCAGAAATCGAAAGCGTCCATCAGGATCCACCTCGCCAGGTTTCGGGCCTTCTCGCTCTGTGGCCGCGCCTATAAAGGTATCGGGTATATAGGTTTTTTTTTGCCGCGGAGGCGCGCGGGACGCGGGA